TTCTCGGGGATCGGCCCCTGGCGCTGCTCAGACACCTTGCTGTGTGGACTCAGGTCAGCAAGCACCTTCTTGTTGCCCAATGGGAAGGAAGGACTGTCCGGCCTGAGGGCTGCTGAGATGGCCGAAAGGCACAGATGGACACCGTGTGGCCACCTGGGTCCTATCTCCCACCTGGCATCTCCCTCTGCTCACTCAAGGAGGGGCTCCAAGGTGGGGTCGTGGGTAATACCTGGGTAATACCTACCACTGTCCAGGACTGGACAAGGCTCCTGGGGCCTGCTGTCCCCTTCCTGGCTCCCCGACTGGCTCTTCCAGAACCATCTCACACATAAACCACTCACACTCAAATGTCAACCCTAGCTCTTCTTAGGGAGAGGCCCCAGCCCAAGTCCTGAGAGAGATTTCGGCTCCCTGGCACCCCCAGGGCTGGCTGGCAGGCAGGCCAGCAGCAGGACCGGGGCCCTACAGCCGGGTTGGGCACACGACCGGCACACGGGCTGAGGCTGGGGAAGACCCCGGGGCCTTGCTGAGTGGGACTGGCACCCTAGAAACCCCAAGCGTGTCCCTGACCTTTTGGTCAAAGGTGGTGCCCTCTCTGTGACACAGATCAAGGGGCAGCCGTGCAGGGAGGGGTGGGCAGGCATGCCAGCCCCTGGAGGCCGGCTGACTGACGGGAGAGGTGTGCTCCTGTCTCTTACCTGGGGCAGGTACCCTGAGTCCGTCCCTCCTGGGAGGCAGGGACACCAGTCCTACATGTCCCCGTCTCAGGGTCGCCCCCCTCAGGACCAGCTCGGACCTGGACTCCGCCTCCCAAGTTAGGTCAGAGGACCTTTCCAGCTCCGTGTGGGAGGGTGAGTCATTCCTTCCTCCATGGCAGGGAGGGACAAACCTACCAAATCCTCCCAACCACTGACTCAGTGCTCCGAAAAGCCATTTTTGGAGCCTCACTGAGGGCTCGGTGCCAGTGAATCAGAAGTTCCACTATGGAAATAGAAATTGCAGAAGCACTATTTCCCAGCAGGCAGAGCAGGAAGGGAAGGTGCCTACATGCACAGACGAGGCCGCCCACACAGGCCCTGCCAGCCTGAGGCCCCTCTGAGAGAGGGTCAGGTCCTGCCCCACACCTGGAGCCCAGTCAGCAAAGGAGCATCTCATCCAGACAGGACCTGGGTCTGTAATGGGGGGTCTGCACGGGGGCAGGACCCAGGTCAGTATTAGGGAGTCTACATGGGGACAGGACCCAAGTCAGTAAAAGGGGGTCTACATGGGGACAGGACCCAGGTCAGTAAAAGGGTGTCTACATGGGGACAGGACCCAGGTCACTATTAGGGGGTCTACACGGGGGCAGGACCCAGGTCAGTAAAAGGGTGTCTACATGGGGACAGGACCCAGGTCACTATTAGGGGGTCTACACGGGGGCAGGACCCAGGTCAGTGATGGGGGTTCTGCACGTGACAGGACCCAGATCTAAACTAGGCCTGAGCCTGCTTTGAGCGGTGTCTGTACCCCAGGTGAGGAAACACATTGCTTCCCAACAACAAAATCCAGCCTGAGGCCGGATCACCCCTGGGGGTCAGGGCCTGCATCCTGGGCAGCCAGCTGGTGGGGGTGGCTTGTCTGCGTCTCACACGGCAGTTCTTCACTGACCCAGGGATGCCCTGGCTTAGAGACGTGCTCTGCCCCCATGTAAGGCCCTATTCCCCCAAAATGTTACTGAAGTGTGGACAGGTTCCGAGGCGGGAACCCCCCCTCAGGACAGGCATGGGACGGCATGTGAACAGGCGGAGGGTCCTGAATGGGTGGCTGCTGACCCAAGGACCATCTCTGGAGAAAAGCTGGGGCTCCCTCAGGTGGCCCTAGAAGCACACACCTCCCCGGGAAAAGCCGCAGCGCCGAGGGGACTGCAGATGGCCTCCGCGTCTCTTCCCGCAGAGGGTGACCCCGATCGGGTTTAACTGCAGTACACGCTGCGAACCCCGCAGACGTGCCTGGCGCCCCACATGACCCTGTCTGATGCCCCGGTTTGCTCTGAGAAGCTGACAGAAGGAAGCCTCAGCCACTCGGAGAGCCCACCTGCCACTGCCAGGCCCCCATCACGGGCGTGGGCGTAGGCGTGGGCGCCAGGGCTGGGTGGGCACCCCTGTCCTGTAGACCATTCTGGAACATTCCACCTGAGATCCCCGGTGTCTCGCTGGCCTGTTTCTCACCCCCTCCAGCTAGTGGCAGGTGCCAGCCTCCCTTTCTGGCCAGCTGCTGCACTGTGGGAGGTGTCTGGGGCTGAGCAGGCAGAGAGCATCTACTGCCAAGGACAAAGTCCGGGGTCAGGATCCGGTTGCATGGGCTTCAGGTGCCCCCAGAAGTCACACCTCGACCGGGAAGAACGCAGGTGATGGTCGCAGTGGCCACGTCCTGCTGGGTAACAAACAGCCCTTCACTCAGCAGCTCCTCAGCACAGCCTCTGTGGTGTCTGTGTCTGGGCGTGGCTCAGCCAGGAGCTCTGACCCGGGGGCTGCTGGCCTCTCAGAGGCCTCCCCGCAGGCAGCGTGGAGGGCCCTTGGTGACCTCATCTTGGAAATGATATCCCCGCTCTCTGCTGCATCTATTTCCTACTCGGGAAGAAGAGCCGCCAGGCCCAGCCCACACCAGGTGGGAGGCCACAGGATCCCCCCAGGGGCTGCCAGCCACAGCCTGACTTACACCGACAGACCCGCCCTTCGCCTCTGGCCCCGTGCGCGCTTGTCGGGACGTCCAGGGGCCTCACTTCCCCATTCCGGAGAGGAGGAGGAAGGCCAGGTGAGTCGCCAGGGATGCAGCGGGGCTTGCCAAAACCTTCTGCTGCAGACGGGTGTGCAGAGCCTGGACAGGAGGATGGGCTGACTGGGCTCAGTGTAGCCAGGGTGTGGCTCACACCGGGCGTGGCGGGTGGTATGGACAGGAGTCCCTGTGAGTCGGGCAGGGGGCCCAGCTCCCTGTCATACCAGGAGCAAGACTGTGGGCCCTGGCTACGGGGCGGCGGTGGGTCCCTGGCTGGGGTCTCGAGAGGGCTCACTTCCCTTCCGTGGGCTGTGGCCTGTCATACCTGTGCTGGTCCAGTCTCAGGGCTCTCGGGGGACGTGGAAACCACTCATGCCACTTAGGCAGAATCTGTAAGCTCGCAGGAGCATCTCATCAACGCAAGGGTAGGGGTACCGCCAGGTCTCACAAGGGGCTAGACCAAGACGGACCATCCGGAACCCAGGCCAGACCCTTGCCCGGCCTTTCCCAGGTCTCTCTGTTTCTTCTGTCTCCCTGCCTCTCCTTGTCCCTCTGCCTCAGGTGACACATAACCAGAGGTGGCCACTGGGGCACAGCTGGAGAGGTGGGAAGGACAGGTAATTCTCAGAGAAGAAGGGGTGTGTTTGGTGGGCTCTCGGCATTGGTCCCTGTGTGGATCTGGGGGATGACAGACCCTTGGGGACTGGCTGAGCCCGATGGCACATGGGGCACAGAGGGTGGTCGGGCTCACGACTGGGTGGTCCTGGAGGGCCAGGTCAGCCCCTCGTGGTTCTGAGCTCCCAGAACCAAGGCAAGGGAGCCTTGCTCTCACCGCACACAGGGTCCTCCTAGGTCCTGGTCTTAACATTTTCATGCATGATTTCCTTTCAAAACACCCAGCGGGTAGGTTTTACTTCTTCCATTTATCATGAGTTAACAGAGGCTCAGAGAGGTTAGGTGACATGCCCAAGGTCACACCGCTTTTAAATGACAAAGCAGAACTGGAACTTGCATCACCGGGGCTCCCCAGGCGGGCGGGAGCGGGACAACACACCCGTGCCCCCAGGGCCGGCCAATGCCCTCGGGCTTCTCCCTAAGGAGGTGGGCTGGTGCTCAACCCTGGAGCTTCGCTGTCCCTGTGTCGGAAAGGACTCGGCTCCGGTGGTCCACTCAGGGGTGCGCGGGGAGCCCCTGGGAGCCGGGCGGTCCTGGCGGGCAGCCGCCCCTCTGCGCCCCGGCGCCTCCGGTGCGTCTGCAGCAACATGGGGCATCCATCGGTAAGCTTTGATATCCATCATCTCTTGAAATGGCAATATTTTGGATGTGTTGAGTAAATGAGCTATATTAAAATTAACTCAGCCTTCCTCTTTGGTGTACTTTTATAACGTGACTACTAGTAAATTTAAAATTACTTGTGCGCCTCGCATTCCGTTTCCAGCGGCAGCGCTGCCTCCGCAGACCGCGATCCTCCCGCAGGAGGGCGCTGCCGGCGGAGGACTCGCCTCCACGCCAGTGTGGACGCTTCCGCAGGAAGCGGTTGGGGGGTGGGGGCTGCTCTCCCCGCCCCTCGCCCCTCCCTTGCATAACTGCCCCCCACCCAGGGGGCAGCAGCCACGCCCGCCCCCCCCTCCCCCGCCCCGGGGGCAGATCCAGGTCTCCGGAATCACGGAATGTGTCCTCGACGCCGAGAGGCGCTTAGAGATGCGGGAGCCACGCGCGTCTGTGCAGGAACGCTGGCGGGCGAGGAGCACCTGCCGCCGCACCTCTGACCCCGGCCGGCAGAGCCCCGCCTGCAGGGGTGCGCGTCACCGGGACACGGCGCCTCCCAGGCCAGGGGCGG